AGACGTTATGGCATCATTGACAAAAATACAAAAGGCTAACAAGAGTATAACTTACCCTAAGTAAGGCAGCACAATCAAACTGGTGATGAGAACAATGATGCGCAGTACTGAGCTAGGAGCTAGGACAAAAGTCTTTTTCAACGTCATCAACCATCCTGTCAAATGTGCTCTTACTGTGACTAAAGAAGAACACGGAAAGAACAATTACTGGTAGCGAAACCTCGGATACATGCTCAATGTCTAAGAGACAATTCTAGTTCCCTCCAGGAAAAAAAATATGATTGCTTTTCTTTCTCAGATACTACATGAAGTTCTGAACTACATAAGAAAATGAGCATTATTAAAGAAGCTGCAAACACAGACGTAAATAGCTAGAGTTAAGATACACTATGAGTAGTAGCAAAATCTGATTTATTCTGTTGCTTAAAAAATAGGATTTGCCAATAAACAATCCTTTGGCTAACATACTACTAAACTGTAAGATCCTTGTGATATAGTTTGTTGCCCTCTCAAAATAGCACATTTCTAGTAAAGGTCTGATCTACCTTCTTCAACCTAAAAGATGCAGCATTAACACAACTGACTCCAGACTTGGAGTCCCGCTCAGACTGCCTGAAGATTGCATTATTTTTGGCAATCGGGCATCCCTTGGGCAACGGTGTTGTCACTGGCAAATCCTTTCAATCCAGACACACCCTTTGATTAGCTTGGTAGGTGCCTCTGACATGAATACAGACTTGCTCAGACTGAGGATCTTTATTTTATCTTGAATTAATCTGTATTGCCTCATAGTTTACATTTTAATTCAGGGATCTTCAAACTTGGCCCTTTTATGACTTGTGGACTTCAACTCCCAGAATTCCTCAGCCAGCGTGTCTGGCTGAGGAATTCTGGGAGTTGAAGTCCACAAGTCATAAAAGGGCCAAATTTGAAGACCCGTTTTAATTTAAAGTAGTTGAAATTATCCTGATTGTTGTTAATACAGAAGAAAGTATACATGGTTGAATGCCAGAGCAATAACTGGGGTGGGGCAGTTCCATTATCTAATATTTTGTTCTGCCATGATTCCCATTCTCTGTTCACACCCAGATTAAAATGCTAGTTTTAACCTTCAAAAACTTAGCCAGTAATCCTGCTCAGACTGGGGGAACATGAAAGGAGCCTGCCTGTAAGATTGCATTATTTTTGGCAATCGGGCATCCCTTGAGCAATGGTGTTGTTGTCACTGGCAAATCCTTTCAATCCATACACACCCTTTGATTAGCTTTGTAGGTGCCTCTGGACATGAATACAGACTTGTTCAGACTGAGGATCTTTATTTTATCTTGAATTAATCTGTATTGCCTCATAGTTTACATTTTAATTCAGGGACCTTCAAACTTGGCCCTTTTATGACTTGTGGACTTCAACTCCCAGAATTCCTCAGCCAGCACGCTGGCTGAGGAATTCTGGGAGTTGAAGTCCACAAGTCAAAAAAAAGGCCAAATTTGAAGACCCCTGTTTTAATTTAAAGTAGTTGGAATTATCCTGATTGTTGTTAATACAGAAGAAAGTATACATGGTTGAATGCCAGAGCAATAACTGGGGTGAGGCAGTTCCATTATCTAATGTTTTATTCTGCCATGTTTCACATTCTCTGTTCACACCCAGATTAAAATGCTAGTTTTAACCTTCAAAAACCTAGCAGAAGTTCCTTCCAGAGTTTCTCTACTGTAAGTGTCCTTCCCAAGTACATCCAAACAACTGGGAAACAAGGAAAGGACTTTCTTGGTGAGCTACTTGTGAAACATTCTCTTCAGAGACATGCCTTGTTATGGTGTGTTTTTTTTAATATTCCAGATGAAGACTTCACTTCATTTCACTTTAGTTGAAACTGTGATTTTAAAATGTGGGCTCTCAATATGTTTGAAAATCTTAGTATGCTTATTTTTGTTTTATTTTAATTCCCTTCTGAGTAAACATATTTTTTATTTTATCATTATTTGCATTTAATATTACATATGATCAAATATGGACTAGAAGGCAAGAGGTCATGAGTTTTAGTCTTGCCTTAAGCATGGAAGCTAGCCGGGTGACTGGGTCAATCATCCTCTCAGGCCTAGGAAGATGATGTAAAACACTTCTGCAAATGTTGCCAAGAAAACTGCAAGAATTTGTGCCCATAGCATTTTCTCAGTAATAACTTTCTCTAAAATACCTACACATAGCAAATTCAATATTGTCCTAAGATGAGTCGTGTTTGGATGTGTGGTTTTCCTGTGCGTGAAGAGCTTTTCTTTATTCAGAATCGATTGACACATTCTTTAAATGGAAGCTCTGGACAAGTCATAAAGGTTGATTGTTCCAACTGTGAGCTGTATTTCTACAAGTGTTGCCTTTGGGTGGATTGTTATGCAAAGCAGAAAAAGCTCTGGGTTAATGTAAATATTTTGTGCCATTCATTTCTTCCGTTTTCTACATACCTGGTACGGGAAAGAAGGAGAAGAGGCGAAGAGGAATGACGCAGAGCTCTGCAAAAGCAAAATCAACGCCAATGATGTCGACCAAGATCTTCTCAGACACATTAGGTGTCCAAAACATCACAAAGCAGAGCTGGGAAAGTCAGAAAATAATACTTCATGATTAGATATCAACTCTTAATTAGCTAAACGTGCCATTGGTTTTCAAAATATAGAACTTCAGCTCTCAAAACACCTCCAACTTACAGTATGTTTAGGACTGCTAGGATCACTGGAGGTTACCAGTCACTAGACTTATAAGCCTACTATTTTATTTAAAATGAAATTAATATTTTATTTAAAATGATATTCTTGCCCCATATTGTCAATATTTCTACCTGCATGAAAAATTCCAGGTTTAACTTCCCTTTCCAGATTCCCAAAGCAATTCCATTTTGCCTGCTGACCTAAATTTCTCTGTAAAAATGTAGTGAAAATATACTTTTAAAGCCAGATTAACATTTCCTTGTTATAGTTCTCTCTTAGTCAATATGCTGCTAATGTTCCTTTATTTTAATGCCTTCAGTCATTCATTTTCAACCACAACTGAGAGGTTTGCAGATTATATGTTTTTAAACTTATATAAGTACAACCAAACACACATTTATAATAATATCTCTAAAGTATTGCACAGTTTAAACGTTTCTTGCAGTAGTTTATTTATTGGTTTTATTTTTTTATTTTTTTCAGCACCTAAATCTGTAACTAGTATACAAATGCCAAAATCTATTTAAAACATTAAAAACATAAAAATATAAATTCTCATATTAAAATAGAATTATTATTTTTTAGAAAGGACTCTTTTTTCTCATGTTTTCAGCATATGTTGCTTCACTGTTTAAGCTTAACTTAAAACTTTAAAACTGTAACTTAACTTGGTAACTAAAAACAGTTGCATAAATTAAGAACTAAAATAAGATTAAGAAATTGCCTTTCTCTTTTTGAAGTTAAGTATATTTCCTTTTTAAGTTTACATGAGAATGGATCTAGTTTCCTAATGACTGAAAATGAATTAATGAATTAATTTCAGTAATTCACCCTGAGATCTTGATCCAAAACTGAATAATTTTGTCTGAAGATATTCCTATTGCAATTTCCAATTAAGAAATAACAAAAATTGGAAATTGCAATAGGAATATCTTCAGACAAAATTATTCAGTATTGGATCAAGATCTCAGGGTGAATTACTGAAATTAATTGGACTGAAGTTAGCCATAATCCACAGAGTTCTTTGATTTTAAGGATTTATTGCAGATCACAGATTCAGTGATCTGTTTTAAGGAGCTGCCTGATTCTGGATCTGAGCCACTGTTTTGAGAAAATATTTGGAGAGACCTTTACCCAAGCCAATCAGAAAATATTTTAACATAGAATATATACAGTTTATCATTTCATTTAATGGGCTACAGCTCTTTTCATGTGAAGAAATGTAAGTGGCAGTGTGCACACATCTACTTTAATATAGCATGTATTAATTCTTTCGGCATAAAAAAAGATAAATAAGTGCTAAAAAATGAACAAGTAACTTTTTAAAAAAAGCACCTGCATCTTGGACAAAAAACACAACGTATACAACTGGAATTGCTTCAACTTGATGAGAGAGGCCTACGTACAGAGCAACTGTTCAGTATACAAATCTGTTATGCCAACTTGTACACATCCATCTCATAAATCATTCCAATGGCCAACAGATACTCTCTCATTACCTAATGCAGTTTCTTCCATCTGTTTCTCTCTACAAAAGAAAAACAGAGGCTTCTGTCTGATCATATCAAGTCAGCCTATTCTCCTGTCTAGCTCAGTAACTTCTGTTCAACAGTTCTTTAAAGTTTCAGACTTTTCCAATTATCTGCACATAAGACACTCTTCCAACTATCTGCAAACACTTAGGACTTCAGCAAGTACAAAGTACATGCTCTATGGTGATAGTTAATCTCAACATTCATATTCCCCACCCCCAAAATATTGTAGGTTTCAAAAGGGAAGTGACTACTGCTGCTGCTGCAGCTTACACAACTGTTAGGAAACGTTCTTCAAAAAATAGAAAAGGAGCTTGCTTATACTGAAGCTCTGAAGCTGATGAGGTTGACTGAAGGACACCATGTCTCCTGGCTACTTGTGGACCTCCATGACATATGTCACTGCCTAATTAGTTTTTCTTCCAGATGAAAATTTGATCTTTATTCCAGTAAGGAGGGAAAGAAGCTCACTGGTGGAACTGTATCACTTCCCGTGACTTTAGACTGGATATCCTGATCTTTCAGCACCCCCCCCCCCCCATTGCAGCCAAGGAGGGCCAACATGATGCAGGCAATTGGGCCACGTTTTCCTCCCTGTAGCTTAAGCTGTTTCACATGCGAGTGGCTTTAATACTGATGAAAACATATGGGTCATCATTAGTTCAATGCAACTTTTGTTTTATTTATGCCCAGTCCTTTTGGATTTATTTAGTAGTTTTAAATACAGGTAGTCCTCGACTTACAAAAGTTCATTTAGTGACCGTTCAAAGTTACAACGGCACTGAAAAAAGTGACTTATGACCGTTTTTCACACTTAACGACCTTTGAAGCATCCCCGTGATCCTGTCATCAAAAATCGGAGGCTTGGCAACTGGTTCATACATATGACCCCTGCTGTGTCCCAAGGTCATGTGATCATCTCTTGCAATCTTCTGACCAAGCAAAGTCAATGAGGAAGCGAGATTCACTTAACAATCAGGTTACTAACCTATCAACTGCAGTGATTCAGTTAACAACGGTGGCAAGGAAGATCGTAAAATGGGACAAAACTCACTGAACAACAGAAATTTTGGCCTCAATTGTGGCTGTAAGTCAAGGACTATCTGTACGTTTAGAATTTATTTAGAAATTCTACTTTTCAAGATATTACAACTGCTACCAAAGTGGCTTACAAATGACATTTACATTTTTAAAGCAGAAAATCTGATCTCCTTCCTCCAAAATTATGTGTCCTGGGGGGAAGAAAAGGTAGAGTCCACTTAGTCCTAGAACAGAGGTGTCAAACTCAATTTCACTGAGGGCCGCATCATCATTGCGGTTGCCCTGGGGGGGGGCAGGTGGGTTTGGCCAGAGTGGGTGCAGCCTAATGGGTTGGCATGGATGGAGTGGGTGTGGCCTACTGGGTGGGCGTGGCCAGTTCTACATCATTCGCGTCAAGGGTGCCTATGGGGGGCCTGGGCAGGAGTGGGACAGATCTGAGGGTCTCTGGCAGAAGGGGGTGGGGCCGGGGCAAGTGCCAAGGCATGGTCCACTGGGGCAAGTGCCAAGATGGCCACCACAAAATTGTACATTGGCTCCCAGCTGGCCTGGGCCAGGGCCATGGCAGCGGGGGCCATTCCCTCACTGTTTCCAGGATGGCTTCGCGGGCCACATGAAACCACTTTGCGGGCCGCATCCGGCCCCCGGGCCTTGTGTTTGACATGTCTGTCCTAGAACAAGACTCTGGGTTAGTCTCTCTCTGCCTTTCTCCTTTTTCTGGCAATTGCTCTGTGCAAGCAGTATTAAGAAGCAAGCCACAAGAAGGAAAACAGTATGATCACAATAGAAAATTTTCCTCCTTTCCTTCTCAACATTAGGTATTGGGTCAGAATAGAATATTTTTATTGGAAGAGTCAATTTGATCTAACAGAATAACGAAGTTGGAAGGGACCTTAGAGGTCTTCTACTCAAACCATCTCCTGTTCAAGCAGGAGACGCTATATGAGACCCTAAATTGAGCAGGAGGATATCTTGGGGCAGGGGAACAGAAGGGTCACATTCTTGGAAGGGGCTCTGTTGTAACTTTGAATGGTTGCTAAGCGACCAAGTTATAAGTTGAGGACTACTTGTAGAGAGAGAAGAATGTATCCAAAAATGAAAAGACCATTATAATGGGAGAGTAATGTGCTAAACCAGGCATGTCAAACTCGTGACGGCACAAGACGTATCGGGACTTTTTCCCCATTGCTGGCAATGGGGTGAGTGCGGTTTTAGAGTGACGCATCCGGCCTGTGGGCCGGGAGTTTTACGTGCCTGTGCTAAACAATCTCTTTTTTTCTCTCTTAAAAATACACCTGAAAGATGCTGAGAACTATCCAAGCTGTTTGATTACTAGTCCAAAAATGGATTGAGAACCTGTTTGACTAGAATGTAGGCACTGTATGTTTTTTATAAGGGTAAAACCTAGTCTCCCAGTCTAATAACATAAAGTACTTTGCTGTTAAAATATTGAAGGTAGCATTTTATTTAGTTCACCAAACTTCCCAAAACAGCTAAAGATTCCACTTACTGATCAAAAAGAATATATGTAGCTCTGGGTTGAAATGAGGGGTCCTTGGTGCTCTAAAAGGGAACAAAATGACCAAAACATCTCCCCATAAGCAATCAACCACCCAGGTGAGCATAGAGCAACCAAGGAACTGCCAAACAAGCTAATAATAAACAGCTGAACTAAAGAACACCAAGACCTCTCCCACCAACACTGGCAGGACAAACCACTAGAACAGGGGTCTTTAAACTTGGTCCTTTTATGATTTGTGGACTTCAACTCCCAGAATTCCTCAGCCAGCACTCTGGCTGAAGAATTCTAGAGTTGAAGTCCACAAGTCATAAAAGGGCCAAGTTTGAAGACCCCTGCACTAGAATATAAATTGAGAGCAAACCCTACTCCCTTACTAGCTCCAATGATGCCACCTAGTTTGGGTAATTAAAAACATCTGCAAGAAAAAAACCAAACTCAGAGAGCACCAAGGACCTGTCATTCCACATATTGGTCTGTATTTATTTATCAAATTTATACAGCTGCCCATCTCCTGAGTGTGACTCTGGGTGGTGTGCAGTAAAGCCAACAATTAAAGCAGTCTTAAATAAGTATTAAAAACAGGAAGCATCAGTAGTAATATTTAGCAGAAGTCAACACATTTGCATGTGACTTATTCAAGGTTTTCTTACACAAGCATTTTAATTTATGAACATAAAGACTTCAGGCAGATAATGAACAGCTGGGAGACTCAAGGATAAATGAAGGACCTGTCTAATTAAGAAGATTAATTAGATTTTTGATTATGAATAAGCACTAACTCACAATGAAGTCTATTTTTAGAAGCCAATCCCCTATAGCCAAACACACTTGCTGAAAAGGAAATAGAAGGTGAAGAGAAGATTAGTGATGGAGTTCAGCTGATAACTTTTTCATGAAAGATTTGAGTGTTATTGCTGTGCTCTGTTGTGCTATAATATAATAATGGTAGAGTCTAAAAAAGTATTTATTAGCAGGAATACCACATAACTATGAAGTTCCTTTTCATTTTTTTTTTAACTCAAAAATGCTACTGCAATTCTTGCTTCGAAGATTTGAGAGACAGATATTTAAGTCCATCTGAATTCTTTAAAGCTAAATTAGTGAGACATAGCAATGTGCAAATTATATTCCAAGTTTGTTATTGCTCTCTTTTATTCAGATTCTGTTTGCTTTTGTTTGATATTTATTTGTTCTTTTCTCAGTAAGATTGCCTTGTGACTTGAAGGAGAAAAGACAAATTCAAAATGATTTTAACACCAAGTTCCCAATATTTACACCTATAATTTAAAAATACTATTCCAAGGAACAACATCCTAAGAAAGCACCTGCTTTGCAAATTAGGTCAGTTCCTAGCATCTCCAAGTCAGGATGGGAAAAATCCTCACTTCTGTGCTAGTTAACACAAACAATAATAAACTCAGATAGTTGACTTTGAATAAACATCTTGCTGTATTGGTCTTTCTAATATAAGAAAAAAGAGGAATGTTTTATTTTGTAATCTGTTCTTGGAAATCTGAATGTGGCAACCGAAACAGATTCTAGCAGTCTGAAAAAAAATAGCGCAAACAATATTTCACAACCTCATTTTCACCATATTCAATAATTGAGTTTGCTAGAAATATAGAGAAAGGCAAAAGTTCTGAAACTGATTTTTATTCTTCATATGAGAGGTTTCATCTATTTAAAAAGAAAATTGTATCTGAAATCCAATTCAATTGTATAAAAATAGTATTTTCAACAATTTTGTTATATCTTATATGTATTTACTGGTTGGTTTTTTTTACTTTCTCAAGTATACTAAATCAAATTCATAATCTCAGTGGCAGCATTCTTTTCTGCAAACTGTCTAAAACTAAGAACCTAAACAGTAGTGGCCAAATGTAGGGAGTGCAAGGATAAAGTGAAAGAACAAACAAATATTTGTTGCTGGCCTATTTGGTAACCTTAAGAGGATAGATCCTACATGCTCCAAAATCTAGTGTTTACAGTCAATGGAGACACTGACAATGGTTCTGGATAAATGGTTATAGAATTTCCAGCCAGGAAGGCTATCAGCCAATCTCCTGATAATTCTCCTAGTAGTAGTTCTGGAGGATTAGGATAAAATATTGCATGGCTTACAGAGATGGAGTGGGAAGATAACCATATATATCCTGGAAAAGAATGTGGACGGAGAGTGGTTAAAATAGGGTTAATTGTAAAAGCAATAATAAAGACAGTTGATTCCTTACCGTTAAAGAGAGGGCCATGCAGACAAAAGTGAACTTTTTGATGTGTGACCCTGTAACAGTACTGCTGGAATTCACCATTTTATTGCTGGGATTGTTCTAAGGTGAAAGGGAGAAAAGCCAGTGCCATTAACCTTACTAGAGCAAATATATATTACGTTCGGGGGCAAATCATTAGACTTTGTCAACCTAATCTCTACTTATGCATTCCTCTGGATGAATTTAATGCTGAGTAAATTTGAGCTGAGAAACTTTAGAAAGTAAATTCTTTGCTGGCAAGAATTTGCCAATGAAAGACACAACAGTGTCCAATAGGCTCTGGTTCTGGAAGTAACATCATAGTTCTATTACCCATACTGCTGCTCTTGCATGATGAAGCAGCAAAAAAAAAAAAAAGTTGGCTGTAATTTTGCTTATTGCAACTACCAGCCACAAACCCATGAAGCTGCTTTCTTTATACCCACATCGTTTCTTTCTAATCAGAAATCAAAATGAACCGCATCCCACAGGCTTACAGAAGTGCATTTGCAGTATTTCATAATTAGGATCCTCCATTGAGACAGGCCTATGAATCTTGTGCTGGATCTCTTCCATTCAATAAATTAAAGCTTTTCACATAGCCACAGAACAATAGCTTTGAACATCTTGCAGCATAAGTTATAATCCTGATTTAGTGGGACTTACTCTATAGATTGGTTACCGCCACTGAATGCAACTTCTAAACAGAACACATATAAGAAATGGGAGGATGTTTTTCTATGCCGGTCACTGCTGTACAAATTAGTTAGAGATCATTAACCTTCTCTGTTTGTCCATCTTCTCTCCAATTCCCTACTCTTTAATGGGAATTTACCCAAACCAGCCCTGCAGTTTGATGCAGCAAGATGCTACTGCAGATGCTGAACACACAATAAGCTCTTATTTATTACAGTAGGTGTGTCTGCCTTCTTATAATATACCTACTGAATGTCCAGGCAAAATTTTCCAGATTCCTAGAGATCTATTAAGTCCAATGTGACCCATATCACAGTTGTTTTCATAGAAAAAATATCCTCTCATCTCTCCCCAATGATCTAAATCACTGAACCCTGATTTACCCTACCTCTAATTAGCAATAAAAGTAACCTACAGAAAATGAAGGTCTGAACATCTAGTTTTTATTTACTCTAATGATTTGTACACATACTAAGTGACTTGATGTTCTGTTCTGCACAAAGAAATTCCAGATATCACTATGCAAATATTTAAAAAAACAACCTCTCTCTCTCTCCCTGAACCCACCCTCTATCTTGCTAGACAGATGGAGCTTCTGAAACAGAAGAAAGTGTTCATGCTAGAACAGCTGAAGCAGTGATGTCATTCTTAAAGGGAGCTAGGGATAAAAGGAAGCTAAGGGACACACACATACTTTTAGTGTGCATGTGTATACCCATCTTTGTGCATCATTTTCTTAGTTTATTAGTTGTGAGTCAGACACTCAAGGAAAAAAGAAAACCTCAATAGCTCTTTTACAGGGTGCAATGTAAGAGAAAGTTTCTTGTCCAACACAGATTGTTGAGGCTCTTTTTATGTTCCATTGTATCTTTGTGCTCCATCCTTTGTTGACACATAGGGACACAACAGAGAAACAATTACCTTACAATTCCTTAAGGCAGGAGTAGGCAACCTTGGCTCTTTTATGACTGGTGGACTTCAACTTCCAGAATTCCTCAGCCAGCTTTGCTGGCTGAGGAATTCTGGGAGTTGAAGTCCACCAGTCATAAAAGAGCCAAGGTTGCCTACCCCTGCCTTAAGGAAACAAAGGATTAACCTTTGGGTATGGAGGTCATTGTTCCAATCACTTCATAAGGAATAAAAGAGGTGGAGCAAGCAGGATGGAGCGAGATCAATGTATATGTAACAGTATCAGGAAAAGCAATCAGATAGACACAAACTAGTTTGCTCTCGGTTGTTGTTGTTGTGGGTTTTTTTTTTTTTGCAAATTCACTCCTCACAAAGCCTATTTCTTACAAAGTACTCTTGCCAAAACTGCATTTGAAAGGAAAACTAAGGATTTGCTCACAGAACACAAGCTCACCTTGTCAAAAGCAGGGTAAACAGCTCGGATCTCTGTCAACCAGCCATATGGCATGTGTCCCACTGGATACGTAGCTGTCAAAATTGCAACTGCCTACAGTGCGAAGGAAAGACAGAAGATTACAGATCAAATCTTCAGAGACAATTTGCTTTTTACCTAATATTCAGATGCTTCTATCACTGTTAGATCAGCAGTATTTTTAAGACTGTCAAGCAGGCACCTGATTCATGACCACAGTAGATGCAAGCAACTAGGACTAGTAAATGAATACCTGGATTCACGTATTCTATTAAGTCATAATATTACTTTAATGCTGACTTAATATGTGTGAACCCCATAATTATGGTTTGTAAAACTGTGATTTATGGCTTAGTACACTATGGCTTATTTAATAAAAAGCAGTTAAATTAGACCATAGCATGGTATAATATGTGAACCCAATTTATGACTTTCAGTTGCAGAAAAATTGTAAGTTGCAACAATTCTAACTCAACTGCAACTGCTTTAAAATATATATACTTTGTCACCTTCATTCTGCATTTTCCCACATCCAGTAGACCTTTCTGATTTGATGACCATTCTCTAGTGAAATGTGGCACAATTGTTAACGGAGAAACACTGTTCAGAACTGTGGTAAAAATAAGCCAAACTATGATTTATGGAATGTTTTTGTTTCCATAGCAATTTATTCTATTTGTGATGCACTAGCATATGATTAACTGAAAATGGCAATGGAAGCCTCTGAGCTTCTCCCAACCATCCTGGAACGTGAGAGAGCACAAAATTGAAACTTATTACTAAACTTAATTTTAATTGAATCTAATTATTTTTCCCCTAAGCCCTCTTGATATTTTCTTGAAACACGGCTTCCAAACATGATTAAAATTTGAGCCCATCCAGCTCATTCCACACATTTGGTCCAGATGTCATCTGCCTGCTTTTGACAATTTTGTTGTGGTGCTATTTCAATTCAATGCAAGACTCTCCCCCCCCAAAAAAAATTCTATAATCCTGTATTTTCATGGAATTTCTTGGAACATATACCACAAAAACAGGCTAATCTGCATCTGTACAATGAAAGATCCATCTGAGTCGGAAAGCAAGGGGTGAACTGCATAAAACATTGAAAATGTTGTACTCAGTAATGAAAAGATATTCAGTGACTGGGCAATATTTATACATCTTACCTAACTACTTGAGACTGCCTATGGAATTATGTTTTGTAAATCATGACTAGAAACACAAGTAAATGCGACTGCATTGTGGATCATATCTAAACTACAGCAATCTATAAATTTTAGACATAGAATTATAGCACTAAAGGAGCATACACATTAATTGCTAGGATCATCTCAAGATTCTTTAAAGAAAGTGGACAGGCCTTTTGGCTTAAGGGTCAAGAAGTCATATCTTGTGCAGTCAGAAATTTGAATAGTTTTTTCGTAATCACATTAAAACTGTTTTGAAAAACATTCTGTATTGTCCATTCCAGAGTGGAAGTTCAAAATCTTATTATTACATTTCAAATTCACTGGGCAAATTTTATCTCAACTTTATTAATCTTTTCAAGTTTTGTTCTAAGGAAAATCATTAAGAAAACAATAACAATATAATCTTATGGCTTAGAAATAAATTCTAAGGCAGCGTTGCCAATTAAACTATTCTATGCAAAGTACTGTAATGGCACACTTCGCTAGGAAGCACATTCATGAGTGTAAACATTGTGATACACAGCATGCTTATTTAACCAGTTACAGTGCTGCATTCGAAAAAGGGAAATGAATTTCATAGAATTCCAAGGAACCGTTTAGGCCATCAAGTCAAACTCTCTGCTTGGTACAGAAATCTAAACTAAAAAATCTCTGTCAACTCTGCTTGGAACACAGCCAGGGAAGAGGAGTCCACCACCTCTCTGGCTAAACAAGTGCACATTCAGCTAGCTTTTTGCCATCATGGGAGCTTTTTCTGATATTCAGTCATAATTCCTGGGACCTGTGTATTCTGGAGTAATAGATCATTTTATTTTTCAAATATATGAAGAGCGTTTTGCACGCAAGAAAACAGAAGTAATATCTGAGCCAGCAACACGTGTCTCAGAGTCTAACCATGGTTAGTTCAAAAGCATCAAAACTGAATTGGGCCCAAAATAAGAGAAATAAAGCACTGGTCAAGTAGATCTAGCCACATTCATAAGCTGAAATTTGCAATATACTCTGCCTGTGTGCCAGGATTTTCCAAACTGTTAGTGCTACCAGCGCTTTCTCTTTTAGCAATGATGTTTTCAGAAACAGAAAGCAACAGAACACACAAACAATAGACACCAATGAAGTCAGTTATCAGCTGACAAGATGAGACACATTTCAACAAGAGAATGTTTAACAACGGAAAGCATGTCCAAATGGGTGGTTTAAAATATTAATTACACAACTTGTGCTCAGTAAAAGTTAATTGTTCAATTAAGTACATGCTGAATAACTCAGTTCTATATTTCACTTCTTTACATTACTCTGATACAAGTATATTAGATAAAATCTCAAAGGTCTTCATTTCTATGAAACAGAATTATGTTAAATATCATGCTAGAATAAGAGTTGTACATTTATACCGATTCTATAAATGTGAGTGACTTTGTAGTGGGGCAGAATTTTAAGCATCTGAGCAGGTACCTGTATCTATACCAACTTTTGTAGCCCTTGATATACAAGCAATATTTCATGAAACCATAAGCACCTTCACCTTTGTAGTAATATGTAACAGAATTCAAAGCAATGTGATTATAATATAAATTGATAAAATAATCTAAAATTGCAGAGTACTGTAATGAAATTTAAAGCACATATACTGTTTCCTACATGAAGCTGATCAGATGGAACTGTCCCCAGGAAATGGTAAAGGATAGTAATAAAAAGAGTCTTATTTAATTCCTCCTCATCTGGTTAAGAAATCAACATGCACATTGTTCTATATGGGATCGTAACATAACTGAAGCAGTTCCACTCATAGGAAACAGTCTCAGAATTTGGCAGCTAAGGAAACCAGGTTGATTCAGAGCCTTGTGTAATTTCTTGTTGCTCTATATGACTAGTAGAGTCACATATTGGATTTAATTATTCACTGGAAATTTAAGTATTGTACTTCTTCCCTGGTGTGTGATATATATAGGTTTGCCATGTGAAAGCTAGTTACCATTAGAGAAAAAGTACATTTGAAAGTGTGCTACTTAATTGGGTACATTTTACATACAAAGACCAGAAGCCATCTGGTTAAATATGCTCAAGCTGTCATTAATTGCTACAGTAGATGTGATTCCAACTATTAGTCTTCTCTTAAACTGTGTTCCTTAATTTGCGGAAGATGTGTTTCAACACTGAGCAATCTGGTCCATTAAAAGCAGTTATTCTCTAGTCTTTGAATTATAACAGCAGTGGAGACTGGGATTTCTGTCACTAAGTAATATGGTCAGAAAGCATGATGTCACATGACTGCACTTTTAGCAATGGTAATCTTTGCAGTCGCCACTGCTGTTTTTAAATGAGCACCTCCTCACAGTTTCCAACAATCAAAAGTGGGAAGCAAATAGGAAATTGTAAGTCCCAGGTGTCTCAAAAGCAGGCCAGTAGGCAGGTTAAGTGGCTGCTGTTGGGTGGGAAAGGGAGGGGCTGTGCAGATAGTTGGGGTGGCGCAGCGTGAGTGTGGCAGGGCTTGGGGTGGCTGCTGCAGGGTGGAGGATATGTGCACAAGTAGTTGGGGAGGGTGTGTGGGTGGCTAGGATGGTGCAGCACAAAGTCAGTGAGTTAAAATCACCCAGCAAATCTGAAGAGCGGCAAACTTAGTTCAATAAAAAAGAAGACTTAATGACAGTTTTGATTGGAAAGTCTTTCAGGGATCCTAGAAATGTCAGGAACAAGAAAAGCAAGTCAAGCCATGGGGGTTAGGAATTGCAGGAAATAAATCCAATACAGCTCAGAGCCAGTAACAATAAATCTTCAATAGCTTGACACAATGAGTTTTTAAAGGACTGGGAGAAAACACAGCTGTTTTGTGAGGACAGATCTAAGTTCTCTGCATAAATATAGAACTGCTATTCTGAACAACTATTAGAAAATCAAAGTAAATTGGATTCATACCTCTGTGGCTGCCGAACTGCCACCAAGATCGCGGGATACAAAGAGGTTCACAATAGGTCTACTGATTCTCTGAGTGGCCAAAATTAATGCCAAAGGCCACCAGAAACCTAGCATCTTTTTTATTGTAGCATCTCCCTGCAGATAAAATGAGAAAATTCAGTGTTGTTAAATCACAAAACCCAAGCACAGCCAAAAGAGGAGCTAAAGAAATTATTTTACAAATATCAGAATGTTTCAAAGATAGAGGTGAGAAGTAGTATTAAAAAGCTCCTAAGGATATAAATAAAAAGGGAACTACAGATTCTTAAAAATATTGTCTATGAAATCCAGGAATATTATTGTCCTGAGTGTTCAATTCATAAGAGAAGTATTTTAAGAATACTTAGCTACAGAATTATGCAATGTGATATTTTAAAAAATAGTTCTTCTCATACATTTTTCTGCAAAGAAGCATCCTGAAAGATGAATGACTTTCACTGTCCCACTATTGATTTTGCATTTTAGTTCAATGCTTATTTCCTTGGCTTGATGCTGACTGTCTCTGTTTCTTAGTATCGATACAAATAAGAATGAGACAAAAAATAAACAGGAACACAAGAAATACTTTGGTTTTAGAGATATGTAGGAGAAGAAGCAACAATGAAATAGAATGATCAAGTGGCATTATTTACGCCAAGTTTGACATATGCTGCTGAAACTAAAAAAGAATAAGTTACATTGAAGCCAGTATATTTTATTGCCTAGCTATTGGTATGTAACTGTAGTAGTCTTGTACTCAGCAAAAGCCCACAGGCATCTTTATAGGAAATGTTCAAAATACAATTGATCTCTTACTGTTACTATATATTTTTTACCCTGGAATATTTTTCTCATTACATTTTTCAAACCTATGAAATAGCAAAATACCAATTAAATTTAAGGAATATCTTTTTAAAAGCATCCTTGCAATCCAGGTGTTTAGTAGCTAACAGGAAATACTAGAAAGAGTTTCCTCTCTTTTTTTGTTAAAAAATCAACATTACAGTCCTCAATCTCTGTAATAGATATAAAATATCTAAAGCAGCATTATAGGAGTTTGAACTATAACCCTATAATAACAATGGATGTATTGGATGCAATTATACAGTTAACATATTAATGTATCCAAACTTACTCCCATCTCTGGCCCGCTATGATCAGGAATAGTATCATGAATGTTTCTGTAGTAACCCAGGCATAACGTGGTACATCGGACGAGTGCTCCCATGTACAAAGACAGGATTGGGATGAGAAGGGGCTCTCGGCATTCCAAGTGACTGTGCAGTAAAATAGCCACAAAAACCACCTATCCAAAAAGAGAGAGAAAGAGAGAGAGAGAGGAGGAAGACTAATTAGGAACACCTAAGACTGTCAAAAGGCTAAGTCGGGGCATCATTTTCTGAGCATGAGATATGTCTTCATTATTGTTCAGGAACATATTGCTAAAGGCAGATAGTATATATTGGCTTTTCACCTTTACAAGAAATAACAAAGAGCAGAACTTTATGATTGATTCCTATTACATGCATACCCCATTAATTTGAGAAATTGCTCCTTTTTATTCTGTAGATGTATTTGAAAATCAGAGAAGATCTCCCCACCTTCTCAACTGTACTCAACATTTTATTAAAGAAGATATGGCTAAGATTTCCATCAAGAAGCTGTAGGCATGCACACACTGGGAGAAATGAATTTGAAATTACAGGTAATGGCACTGAAAAAAAATGACAAAAACAATGATCTTTGCGCTTATAACTGTTGTAGCATCCCCACAATCATGTGATCAAAATTCAAATGCTTGGCAACTGGCATGTATTTGGGACAGTTGCAGCATCCCGGGATTGTGTGATTGCCATTTGCGACTTTCCCATAGTTTCAGACAAGCAAAGTCAATGGGGGAAGCTGGATATGCTTAATGACTGTGTGATTTACTTAACAATTGCAGCAATTTGTTTAACAACCATGGCAAAAAAGATTGTTAAATTGGGGGCACAACTAACTTAGCAACTGCCTTGCTTAGCAAAGAAAGTTCTGGCTCCAACTGTAGACGTAAATGGAAGATTATCTACATTTTAAATAACTGATCTTTTTAAAAAAAATCCTGAACACATATGGAGGAAAAAAAATATGGTGCTGGTGAAATAAGAACAAACAATAATTGGAGGCGGGCCCAAGAGGGAAAGCAAGGAAACAGTTGCCTTGATGTAGATCTCATCTACTTCCTCTTACCAATTTATAATGTTATTAAGGATACTTGAAAACACAGAACGTGAGATAACTGGCAAGAGCAGGAAAGTTTTAAATAACAATGCAATCTGATTGAAAGTTTAGCTCAACAATCTTTGCAACATTTCTGTAAGACTGGTTATCCCAATGTTGCTGATGAATGGCTGAATGTTCTGCTTAATTAAATGAATTAATGATTTCATTAAGACAATATATTGATGTTTAAAAGATATACTGGGTTTTATATGAGCTGTAGAGAAACCAGAATAGATGCAATATATTATGCAAAAGAGCACATATTTTTACACAAAGAGTTAGTTTAAACCCAAATTGTTGGTTCATTTTGTAGTATTCTGCTTATCTGTGTGAGTCAAGATAATTCTGATTATTTTCTCCCTATTTCACAGGATTCTCATGTATTTTTCAGGGAAGTAAAAATATAGCATATTATACACATAATCATAACACAGATGAAAACTAGAGTTAATTGTTTCCCCAGTAGTTTTAGCAACTGTGTTTAAAAGCTAAAGAATGGAACTAGAATAATCAGTGTGCCTTTGCTTTCCATCTGATAGCTTTCTTTTTATATTTAGTATAATTATTTTAATTGCAAAGAGCAACTCCTCAAATAAATACAACCAATAAAGTAAGTTTGGATAATTCTCTTGAGAAAATTATACAATTCACAGCTAATGCATGTGAATCTTGATGCATTCTATATATCTCCAAAGAGAAAAAAATAACATCCATGTGGGCTAATTAGTGAATTATTGAATTAATGTTTTTAATGAGAGTGATTACAATTTAATAGAATATTTAAACAAATATACTGCAGTCTGTTACATTCCCTTCCAATTAGTTTTATATATTGTTTAGTATGCATGGAAGCATTAACTGAGCTGTAAGATCATGTTAAGGACAGAAAACCTGTTAAATAGGATTGCTGACCAAGAAACAAAGATGAAGTACACCAAAGATCAATTGTTAAAACAGAAATTTTGAGGTAATTCATATTCAGGATGTGGTAATTTGTAGGTTTTGCCACAAAACTGTGATTTGATTGAAAACTAACAGAGAAAATTTCTCTGGGTTGCCTTTCCGATCCAAAAATTATTGTGTGATTAGTCTGAGAGAACAGTAGGAAAAAATAAAGGCTGAATTATAGTATTACTTTAAATACAGTCACAAGTATATTTAATAGCGTCCATTTCAGCACCATCTAATAGTTAGATGAGTCATTAATGGCTATTATGACACAAACAAAAAAGAGCTAAGCAACAACAGTATAATTATAACATTACAGTATAATATAGATGCTGATAATAAACACAAAAGTCAATAACATTATATATATGTGCGTGTATATGTAAGTATGTATGTATGAATGTGTGTGAGTATGTGTGTGAGTGTGTAACTAGTCCCTGACAGATGTAGCAGTGCCAAATGACAGCACCGTCAGGAAGAAGGATTATGAGAAACTGGAGACTGAGGAAGACACAGATCACCCTTAAGGATGAGAAGGTGTTTTTTTTTTTAATATTAACTTCTTATTTCCAACGTTCAGGTATTGGCAGCCCAGAAACCTCAGCATCAATTCATGCATGTTCAAACATATAAATTAACAAAGACTTTTTCCAGCAGGGAAATGGTATTCATTTAACTGGACATTTCCCAAAGCAGAAGTAGTTGTAAATTGAACAAATTCTTACCTGAGCAATGACATCTGAAATGGAGGCACATCCAACCAGAAAGCTGTATTTGTGTTTCAAAAGAATGCCTGCATGTGTCCAAGCCTGACAAAAACGAAGAAAAATAGATCATCAGTTGGGATGACTTTAAATTCTGGAATACCGGTAAAATAAATTTCACAACCACAACATTTGCTGGAAGGGTTCTGGAACACTAAAAGCCATCATTTCTTTCTCTGCTCATCAAGGTATGAATCTTATTCTATTGTGCATTAGGATGGGAAAATGTGCTTTCTAATCATAATGCACCGTGGCAGGACAACATTGTATAGCCTCGAACTCCAGATGTTTGGTTATAATGTCTATCCTCTCTAGCATAATCACTAGTCAGGAATTACAAAGGTTACACATCAACATTATCTGGGAATGGATGGTTAGAAAAGATTGTGGCAGTTTCCAAAAGCATACAAATAAGTCAATTACAAAATGAACTATAGATACAGACATATTTTAAGCATTAGTATCAAGTTATGTATAATTATTTAATCAATTACTGTTTGGGACATAAGCTAACTCCTTAAACTGACTGGGAGAGTGGACATTTGTTGAATTACAGTCAAAGAATGGGACCAGAGTAACTGGAGAGAGTTAACTTCTGAAAATTACAATAAACCTTCAACTGACTGGACTGTGAATGTAAACAGTGCCTGTTAAAGCAGAATGTCTGTTAAATCCAAACAGAATTTTACATATATACAGATACCTACAGTGAACAGATTTTGAATTCCGTGTCTGAAGCCCACTTAAGTAAGGTCCATTAAAACAAGGGTTTATGTAATAATTACATGTGAAATAAAAGAGAGATAGTGAGGCACTTTTCTTTGTAAAAAAAAAAGGCTTTATAGAAGTCTTTGAAGAGGCTGAGTTGTACTAAAAAAAAGGCAAGTGGAACAAATTTAATTTCGTGGAACAAACTACAGAAGCTAAACAAACCACAATTGAGTAAAAAAAACACAACCCTGCTAACTCTTTTAAAAGATCTCCAAAAGCAAGAATAGCAATCTTTTTTGCAGACTCACCATGGCATCCATGAAAGGAAAAGCTGCAAGATAAAGGAAGGCCTTGCGTGTTTTACTTCCCACAGAATCATCAACATGATGCAACTTGTTAATGATGTAATATCCCAGATCACTGTATGCTGCAGAATAATAACAATAATAATAGTAGCAACAGGAATACTACTGAATAACAATAATGTAGCAATAGCAGTGATATTCAACAGTTCAGTATTTTAGGATGAAAAAAAAATACAGGAGTTCTTTTCCACTGGAAATGCTGACAGTTTTTATGGACAAAATTTCATTGCTTAATAGGTTGCCAAAGTGTATTAAAATAGAGTCCCCCCCCCCCAAGAAAAATAAGGGAGCAGCAGTTTTTTCTTCCAGGAATTGCAAATGCCTGAAGGAAAATGAGAGTTGAATGAAGTAGTTTTATGCTCTTTTCTTTAGTACAATTGTGTATTATACTATAAAGGCTCTTGATTAAAAGCAAATAAAATATTATCACAGGTGATTATTTAGAAACACTGTACTAAGGATACACAAGCAGCTTAGTTAAGCCAATTGCTTTAGAATACACTAGCTGCTACCAGATAAATCAGAGTAAACCTATTTTGATTCCTAGAAGATGTATTTACTCATGGTAAGACACTGGATACTTTTATTGCTTGGAATCTTTTTTTCTACCACCCCTCTATCTAGTTTTGCCATCAATTCTGTCTCAAAATGAGTCACCATTGTAACTTTCCATAACTGTTCAGTCCTCACTCCTAATTCAGGATGCTAGTCAACTGATGTGTCTTTTTCACTTATTTTTTCTCAGCTCATTCACTCTTCTCCCTGTCTCTTCTCATCCATCTTGTCTTCCACAGTTGCTGAAGGATAATATCATCCTATCTTAGTTCCCTAATTGTCCTCTTGGGAGCTAGGGCAAATATTTTATGATATCAAAACAGGACTGAAATATATACATAAGATTTAGTGAATGGGTCCCCGATCCCCCGCTTGCTGGGAATGGGCCACACAAGGGGTGGGCAAGTGTATGAAGCTTCATTTGCACCTGTGCAGGATCTAGATTATACATGTGAAACCATCCCCCCACTGCCGCCACCGCTGCTGGTCCATGGAGCCAGAAAGGTTGGGGATTGCTGATTTAATGGATAAGCTGCATAACTGTAATTTTTCAAAAAGCTGTTATCCTCTAAGCCAGTGGTACCCAACTTTTTTTGCTCCAGGGATTGGTTTTGTGCAAGAAATTTTTTCCACAGACTGGGGGTGGTGGTGGTTTCGGTTTTGCTCACTTGCCCACCACTCACCTGCAGCTGTGTGGTCTGGTTCCTAACAGGCCATGGATCGGTACTGGGGATTGGGGACCACTGGTCTAAGCTATTAGTGTTCTTAAAAGCATTTTGTTATTCTTCTAAGAAACATACTTATGAAAGCAAAAGTGATTCAGGGTTAAGTCAGAAAATTACATTGAATCCAGGGGACCAATTTTCTCTGCTTTCAATATTCAAAATATTAGTTGCGTTCAAAGATCTTATCAAGGAACTGAGTACTGCATTTATACTGACAAATATCCCCACATGTTTCCGATTACATTCTCTAACCAACTGTTGGCATTTACAGTTTTGAAAAACAATGATTTCATACTAGCATGAGGAAAGCTACCACATCAAAAGTGGCACGCCGCCTCAATGCTTCATCAGTTAATCTTATCAAACTAATATAATTTGAGGAAAAACATGACATGGCTAAGAATGTTATCACTTATATAGCATGGATGCTCGGTTTTATCTTTTATGTTTAATTGTTGATGTTTTAGTTAGTTTTGTTTTTAATTTCTTAAACCTGTAAGTGACCTTGAGGTTTTGCCTTACCTTAAAAGGGAGTCTAAAATGGTTTCAGATGAATAAATGCTATTGCAAAATGTGCACAAAAAAAGAGAGTATCTGCTGAGTATCATATCCTCTATGATACTTAGCAGCATCAATGCTGAATACTGGAGCCCCTTCATTTCAATTGTTTAATGCCCATTTTTTTGCACTCCATCTGTATCTCTTCTGACTTCCGTTTACCCATACATTAACTATTATTACAAAATGAAGATTACAATAGACTGTGGAAATAGAAAAACCCATTACTGTAAGAATTTTAGTTAGTGCTTACTCTATGCCAAAATATCACTAAGCTTTTCAATACTTCTACTTCAATATTGTTTGAATAACCAGTCAGAAATAAGGGTTAAGAACAAATGTGGAACCCAAATAAGATATATTTTGTTATTGGTGACAACATGAGGATGCCTTCTGCTAACAGACCTGGCTTTGATCAAAATCTAGCGAGTAAGGGAGGGAAGTTCTAGCTCTGGCAAAATTATAATGGACAAATTCCTAAAAAAATTGAATGAATACAAAAGAAGTTATTTGTCAGCCAATCATTTGAGAAGAGATGCTATTTCAATAACAACTGTGAAGCAAACTTACCTATCAAGGTATGAAACACTGCAGCCACCGCACCAGCTACAACCATGCACAAAACTGCTTTGGTTCTGTCTCTTTTACTGTTAACAAAAACCAGACCCACATTTTTGAAATCACTCATCGGTCCAGTGAAAAACTTCATGAGGGAGTATGCCAAGCCATAGCTGGCTAGCATTTCCACAGCATCTTCCTTAACAGCTGCAATTCCTCTATTCAAGGCCTAAACAGAAACAAGAAAATAGAAAGGAAGAGAAATTAACATGTGCAATATGTTATTAAATATGTTTACTAATTTTTAATCAAATAAAGTAAAAAAGACATATGCATTATTTTGCATAGCTCAGAAAACAGACTGTTTCCACATAATATTTTTGTGCAACTCTATTCATGAAATTTAAAAATGAGCCCCAAAATCACTATCTTCCATTTGTAACCCCTCCTGTTTTCTTACCACAGAAATCAGTAATATGGAGTCCATAGGTGGCATAGCACCTGTTGTTCTAAAAAGATACATCATAAAATTCAGTCACGTGAATATGGCAAAATCTCACATGGAACCTCATGAACTTTCAGAGTTCTCACATGAGATCTTAGACTTAGAAGCTTTACTTTGGCAGGCAGGTTGAATACACTACAACATGATAGCATCCAAGGCCTGACAAAACCGTTAATCAAAAGTATAAACCATGCATTTAAGAGGAAATAACACAACAACAGGTACATATGAACATAAGGTCTATGAACTATGAACCTAGTAAGACATATCCTTGTATGTTGTACCCTATACCTGGTGCTAGGCTTGGTTTGCACTGTTTTAACTTCTGAAATTAAGAGAGTTATATATACAGACAATGAGAGATGTGACCTTGATGCAAATATGCAAGGAACTGTTACATAAGCAAAGCAGGTTGATGCATTCTTTAACCTTACGAAACAGGTAACATTTGGAAAAGCATTTCAGGTAAACACCTCCCTGAATCAGTGGAATATAAGAAGAGGAGATACAGCACAGTCGATCTTGCAGAAAATGTTAATATAGCCTATCTTAAGAAAGTGTAGTTCTAATTTCCTTCTGGAGTTATTTTCTGGTCTGATCTACTTACAGAGACTGACATTATGTGACATTTTAATTTCAAAAATTGTTATTGATCTATTTCTATATTGTAATTATGATTATGAACAGATCAATTTCTTGGTCAAACATTGTTCAGCTAATTTGATTTTCCTTTCCCCCAAAAGGAAATATATCAACATATAAAATGAGAAAAACTAACCTATTCATAGAAATAAGTTAAATTTTTCTTGCTCTAAACTGTTCGTGAAAAATGAATGTACATCGACTAAGCTTTGTATATTAAGCATACTGTATATATTAAGCAAACTTCTTTTGCATGCCAGTTCCCGAGGTTCAATAGTGAAAATACATTAATATTGCTTTATTCCATTTCATGCACATGATCTTAAAAAACAAAATATAAACCATTCAGTTCTGCTAAGACGTAGAGGCTGCAAAATGTATCCTTTTATTCACAAGTGCGCTGTTTGTTCCCACCCACATAAAAATGTTATTTTCTTCTGTCTTGCCTGCTTTAAAACAAAATCACTGGGTTCACCGTTTAGCATTTATTTCCCTTCTATTGTCTATTTGTGTGGTGAATTTTGTCTGTCTGAGTTTTAGGATAAAAAGATTTAAAGACCATTTCCCTGTTCCATGTACTAAAATGCTCTTGATGTTCCTTTGTACATCTATATATACTGTACCTACATTTGAGCAGTACAGTCTTTTCCATCCTTCCATAAATATGATTCAGTGTCAAAGCGCATAGAAAGAAAGTGATTTTATTACTAGCAAGCTGGCAGCCTGATACTATTCATTTGACATAATACTCTTGGTCTCTGATTACCCAGATAAAAGAATGATTTAAGAACAGGATTTAGAGCATCAAAGCACACAGAGAAAATGACTGACTCTTCACATAGTATTTTGCAAGCAGCTGCAGGAGAAGAGTCATACTGTAGCATGGTAGAGAGGTGGGGAACTCATGATGCAATGGAAGTAAATAATAAGTGTTAATTTGGCTATGACTCTACAATGACCGCAGAAGCCTTCGTGTAGAAAGTGTTCCTTTCACCTCTGGCTGCCCTGAGCTTCAAAACATTAGTTTCAAAGAGCAAACCTTTAGCAAGAATGTATTTCCAAGGGAAGGGAAGATTATTACTTGATGATGTTCCGGGACATTTAGGGATGAGAACTGCTTAACGGGGAAAGGTGGAGTAAATTATGAGGTACATAATTCTCCTCCCCAACTTAAGGTAGATTAAGCAACACATACTTGGATTCGATTCACTTCAGAAGTTTAAGTCATAGAGAATAAGCACTTTTTCAATTCAGCACAATATTAAACTTCTGAAATTCATTGCTACAAAATTTGGAGATAGGTCATAAGCTTAAACAGCTATATAAATTCATGGCGAGTATAGGTTTCAGAAGGTAAATTAACCACAACAGCTAAATGGAATCTCTGTGTTCATAGACAGCAGTGACTAAATACTAGAATATAAAGCATGTCAACAAACTGAATATTTGTATATATAAACATCAGAAACTGAGCAGGACATATTTTTAGTACCTGATTCATGAGGCATAAATAAAAAAATAGAAATTTTTGAGTTTGACTTATAACAATTATAAATGACTGGCCAGGAATCATATTGTAGAGCTATATGGCACCTTGACCTTGTGTGGCTGTGTATTTCTTGTAGGTCTTTGCTAATCGTTCATCATGAGATAATGTCTCAGTTCAGTTGTTCCACTAAGAAGGAATAGTTCACTGGAGAAATTATGGAAGGTCTGACACTGCAATGATGCCATGCAAAAGTTGGTTTTCCAGTGGGTGGCTACTAAAATAAATCTAACCCGAATGTTGGTTGCTCAGTTTAATTAACTACCTCCAGACAAACCAAATGTTTTGACTGACCAGTTCAGCATTTCCTTTTTTAAAGCCAAAGAGAAAGAGCTAATAAATCAAATATGTCAAATGTTCACTAGTATAGTCCCTAGAAAATCAGTTTTTCCCCAAACACTGGAAAGCTGAGTTAGTTCCTCGACCTCATCCAGATTAAACTTGGACGATTCATGTCACTCCACATAATGTAGCTGTTCAAATCCCTGTCTAAACATTTATTTATGTGCCCAACACAGATCTCTCTTTGGGAAAAGATTATTCCTCTTTAAGACTCAAACAAATTTTGGAGTCTTACAAAGAACATAGACTTCATGAAAACAAGAAAAGAACTCTTATGATTAATAGACATTTTACTCAAATACAGATACTGCAAGATAATTTAGATCACACCAATAATATTACTTCAATCACAGGGTATACAACAAAAATAACAAAGCTTTATGAAAACCAAAACAACACCTGAGGAAATCTTTGTAATTCTTACTCTTTACTACACATGGATAAAGTATTCTTGCAATGAGGAAACTGATTTTTATTAATTTACAGTGATTTATATAGCTTAATATAATTACTACCAAATGTACTTTTGGGGGGAAAGTGAGCTATACCTGTATTTGCTTTGTTTTCTATTTCCTTCCAAACTAATTAGATAGATAGCTTTGTCCTTATCAGTCCTAAGACCAATTTAAAATTGTAATCGATTGGCACCTACAGTAAAGTTTTATGACTTTCAGTCCATAATATATACCCATCAGCAATATAGAATCTCATCTTGCTCCTTGGCTGTTAAAAGCTATCAGATAAAATCATTATCTAACCATTATCTGTAAACAAGTCAAAGTAGGTTGTTGTAATCCTTCCCAAATGTGTGGGGTTGAACCTTAATTTAAAAATGACATCTCGAGGCAATCCATCTTAAAATGCAGGATCAGGAAATCAATAATAATAGCCCTCAAAGGAGGGCCACCCGAGAGGTTAATAGGTGTTAGGCTACAAAAGGCAATACTTGGTTTGCTGCTGCTAGTGAGACATGATGGAAAGATGGGTGGTTGATGGGAATCAAAAATTTAATTTTGTGAAACCTCAGAGAGACAGGAAAATTGTTCATGTCACAATGCTTTATTTTGCTGAGCCAAGAGCAGTTCTCAATATGAAATGTTCATATCTGCTGATAATGAGAATATTAAGGTAAGAAGCCAAGAGAATATTAGGTGGGCTTGGGAAAGACCACAACAGCGGTCTAGAAAGATGGAAAAATTGCTGCCAAAATAACAGAAAAACAATTAAAGAGGTAATGATGGCATTTCCCATACAAAAACTATTTGTGTATGTCTCAGTGTTAAATGTTTTGTAGTTAAAAAGAAACTTAAAAAGCAACTTCCCATCTTCTTTACAGAAGTTGTAGACATATTTGATACTGTATCTTCTTCCCAGGTATCTATTTTCAGCAAAAAAATCCATAGAGAGCTTCCAGTCTTTAACAAAAGTGGTTGCTGTTCCTTCCCTAACAAAAAGTATTTTATAACTTTTACAGGTAATCCTCGACTTACAACCACAATTGAGCCCAAAGTTTCTGTTGCTCATTTGTTAAATGAATTTTGCCCCATTTTACGACCTTTCATGCCACAGTTGTTAAATGAATCACTGCAGTTATTAAATTAGTAACACAGTTATTAAGTGAATCTGGTTTCCCCATTAACTTGATCACTAAAAGGTGATCACATGATCCGGTGACACTGCAACCGTCATAAATATGAGTCAGTTGCCAAGCATCTTAATTTTGATCATGTGTTCAAAATGGCCGTAAGTGTGAAAAGTGGTCATCAGTCACTTTTTTCAGTGCCGTTGTAACTTTGAACGGTCACTAAGTGAACTGTTGTAAATCGAGGATTACCTTTATATAACAGGTTTTTCAAATTATATTTAACATAAATTATATCAAATGTATATAAATTTTATTAAATATATTTATTATATAAGCATTTATTTTAAAAATAAAAATAGTTTTAAAATAAATGGTGGATCCCAGATTAGGTATTGCAAAATCATTTGATGACATAGATTATTGTCTGGGAAGTGTACCAGACAGGCAACCAGCCAGTCAAGGAGAGTTTGCTGCCAGGAAGAATCAAGGTGGCAAACATCTTTGTCCTCATTGCCAAAAATAGCATATGATCCCAATGCAATGAGTAAGCCTTTTCAACTCAAGTAGTTTAATGAGGAAGCACCACTGACTGTTTATTTGAGAAAGGCTGCTGCTGAGATAGATATCTTATGCATCTGCTGGGAAATCTCAAGTGGAAGAATCTTAATCCCTCGTGATGGAAAACTTTACAAAATGTCAAAAGTCCATTAGGGGTTGAGGAACTGTAGTACAATATTTTTTCGACTGCTGTGCATTGTAGTTATACGTTGTCAAACTCCCTGCTTTGCAACATGTACACATCTACATAAATATATAAGAATATTTGTCCATTTAGTACAAAATGTTGGTCTATTTGTGCAGCAGTGTAGCCTGGTC